AAACAAGTTTGACTCATTTGATAAATTTTGTTCGATATAAAACAAGTAATATTCATAAATTGAAAAAAACAGATTACTGATTTCAACAGATTCGTACATGTCTGACTCGTTTACAGGCATTAAGAATGCCTATAAAATTCCGTTAGAACTTAATTTCAAAAATTTTAAAACGAGTGCGTTTGTATAAGTATTGCTGAGCTAGTTATGAAGTTTGACGGATTCTGTTCATCTCATACATGCATATTAAGAACTCATCGGAAAGTAGTGCACGTAAGTTCTAAGAGTTTTTTTCAGTTGATACTGGTCATTGTTTTTTGTACAGAATTGAGTGCCTATCTATGCCGCTCTAAGAGATCGAAACATTTATTGGCATTAATCGTAGCTTACTTTTAGTAAGTTGTGGATATCAATTTTCGATAACTCGTAAAAGTTTGAACATACTGCTTCAGAATCTTATTTGAAAGTGACAGTTATTACTCGCTTTAAATTTAATTGATAGCTTGAATAACACCTGTAGGTAAGATATGGCAATGACGAAATAATGAATATTTTGCCATAGTCATGAGTCTGTAGCCTTTGAATGATTGATTATAATACTTAAATTGCAGTTTTTGTTCTTTGAGATACAGTAATCAATATGTAGTTTGCAGACTGTGAGTTGTGAATGAAAATAAATAGCATTTGTTCAGTATGAATTGCGAGTTTTTGCAAGCAATATACATAAATCATCAATTTTAATAAGATGCATTGTGAAGTCGATGTTGAGAAGACCTTCGATTATACGATCTGCTATGTATCAGAGATGTCCATCGCGGCTGAAAATCTGCCGCTGCCGCGCCGCGACGGTTTATAAAAAAATGTTGCCGCGACGCTGCCGCACGGCAATGACTTATAAAAGAAACGCTGCCGCGATGAATTATAAAAGAAACTTGCCGCTGCCGCGACGGTTTTCAAAAAAATGTTTCTAATTTCACTGCTGTGACTATATTTGGTCAGAGATATGGGTACTAGTCCATCAGATTTATTCAATATCAGGGCGTTTCATTTGTAAATCCTGAAATTCTATTAAATTCATACAGTTTTTCAATGTCCTCCAAAAAGAATCCTGCCGCTGCCGCGATGGTTTTTTAAAAAACCTGCCGCTGCCGCGCCGCCACCGCCACCGCGGCAGCGGCAGCGGCAGCGCCGTGATGGACATCCCTGCTATGTATTGTAGGCTGATGTCATCAAGGACGTAAGTATTCTCAGATTGTACACTATAGGTTATGTCATGTAAGGTATACATGTGAGTGCGTTGTATTGAAATTTCTTATAAACAATATGAAGCGTATTTATAGTATGTATTTTGACTGTGTGTCTTCACATGCTTTCGCTCTCTGTCAACCTCAAGAAGGTAACCTATCAATATGCTTTCATTAGTGCAAAAATAAATAATATAACTCAAAATTTTCTTTTCTCTTGCGTTTGAAACTATAGCATTGGTGATATCTTTGAAGCTCATCAACAAAGAAAAAGATGATTAAATGAATGATTAGATTTTCCAAGTAAAATAAGTCTGAGATATGTTTCCCAGGATGATTCTCTTAATTTTTATCAATTAATTATAGGCTCGATATCAAAAGATTCTTCACTCAATTCTTTATAACTTTGTAGACAACATTGTAACGTCAAAGCTTATTATTGAGAAACATGCCTGACTGAAGAATACGATAAAGCGAACTACCTTAGTATATACACGAGTGTTTGATTAAAAATTGACAAATTTTGATTTACATACATATATAACTGTATGAAGATTAAGAAGCTTCTTCCAAGAGTTCCTATTGACTTGAAGAGCTTCTGTAAGGTATTGCTTTCAATATTTTCATCACAAACAAAACTCACATTTTACAGAAGTCGATTCAAAAGAATTTAACTTTATGAAAGATATGAGGCTATCATGATACATATTAGTCTTGAGATTGTCAGTTGAGTTTAGTTTGTAACGAAAACTTTAAAAGTACTTTGTCAAAAGAAGCTATCCAATTAATATAAATTCATGATGAACTTCATTGGTCTTAATCTACTTACAGATGGATATTTACATTAAATTCTAAGATTTAATCGAAGAAATTTTTAATACAATATTACCCTAACAAACACGACAATTACCTTCATTTTATTACCCAGGTGATTCGATCCGACTGTCGGATTACGTCGGATTATATCGGATTATATCGGAAAAATTACCGGATTTTAACGGATCCGACGGGAACTCGTCGGAAGTTGTCGGCGTCCTAGCCACAGGATTCCGACAGGAGGTTCCGGATGTCGGAATAATCAGGATCCTGCGAAATCCCTGAAACTCCGACACTTTCCGACATCCAGAACCACTTGTCGGAATCCTGTGGTTAGGATTCCGACAAATTCCGGCGAATTTCTATCGGATTCGACAGGGTGAATTCGACCTGGGATTCTTCAATTCGACCTAGTTCTTGATAACTTTTGATTGTAAAATTTTGCATACAAGCTTATAAAAAATTCAACGAAGAATCTTTCGAAATTAAGCTTTCTTTTGATTGATGAAAGTTCGTCTTCATGTTTTTCTATTGTTGATAAGGGAAGATGTGGCACAATGCACAGCGTATCGTAGAACAATGTGCTTTTATACCTGATTTCGAGAACATGAAAGGTTTCATAAATATTTTGTTTTCTACGTTTGGAAAAATAGTCTTAATGAAATAACACTATATTCTAAAAACCTGCGGAGTTTTCTATCACCCTGTAAATTTATGGTTTAGATTGCACTTATGTACTAGAGAAAAAGGTCAACTACAATGAAGATACCTTTATCACCACGTCTTCACAGCCTGAAGTCTTTAGCTATCATGTTAACTAGTTGTTTAAATTTTTTATTACTATAGAAATATCTTTTTAAACAGTAATTATATATCCTGATAGCACTTGACATTCTCTATCTTTCGATGTATTTGTGTTTTCTTTGGATTATATATATTGCCAAAATAATTTGAGCTCGATGAAAATGCCTTTAAAATTGGGTACTGCAAAAAATCAACATTTTTCATTATTTTTGTTGATTATCTCCGTGCCATTATAGGTAATATAGGAATAAATCTTTGCAAAAATAGTCATATATTCTCATAGCGGTTCGAAATTTCTATCATTCTGTATATGTTATCTTATCTTTCGTTTATGTGCTGTAAGAACACGTCCAATAATATGCAGGCATCCTACTTGACAAAGCTTAAAAAGTATGATTGTCTCATATTGTTCTAGCTTTGATTGCCAGTTTGTCATCACTTTTATTATCACTATAAATATAATTTTTGAAGCAATTTACTATATGTTCTACCAATTCACTATACTCTCGATCATTTTGAACGTCTATAACAAGAAAAAAAGAAGCAAAACCAAAACGATCGGTAAGAAATCCAGTTTCTTTTTTATTTTTTGTCAACGAGAATGTCTGCATATTATTCGACTTATTTTTTTTTCACAGCATATAAATAGAAGATGAGACAAACGTACAGAGGATAGTAGAGATTTTAAAATGCTATCACAATCTATAACTATTTTTGTACAAATATGTCCCTATAATACCTATCATTGAACGGAGAAAAAATCAAAAAAGTAATGAAATATCTGGATTTTTCGCACCTACCAAATGAATGTATTTTGTAGTACTCAAAGTATTTTGGTAATAGATAAAGATGAACCAATAGACAAATATCTAGAAAAATAATTGTAATAATAGCTACAAAATCCGGTCCGTGCAAATTCGGTGATGAAGATATCTTTGTTCTAATCGATCTACTTTCTAGTCATACTTGTAAACTAAATCATAAATAGTTAGGATGATTGAAGACTTCACGAACTAGCAGAATATAGTATTATTTCATTAAAAATATGTTCTGATAGTGACTATATACTCAACATACCGACTGAAACTACTTTTTCTCCAGCGTTTAGATAATATTTGGTACGTAAACATAAACTCTATTTGTGTAAGTCTAAAATAAAATGGAAAATCTTACATCTTGAGCACAGTCATGAATTTTTTTACTGACAAAAATAAAAATACATGAAACATAAAAAGATAAAGCAAGCAAAAGAGAAAGCATTGTCACATTGCAAAGATTAGAGAAGAGTCATTTGAAAAAGAAATAAGCTATGTACTATAACTCAAAAAATCTCCAAATGAAAGCGACGCATATTAAAATTTATTTAGATGTCTTTGATGTCAATATATGATTATAATGAGTAAACTGATAAAGAGATTATTAAAGTAGAGGCAACTATTTCTATGTTATATACATGATATACAAATTAGAAATAATTATGACATACATAATATTGTCACATATAAATAACTTTACTAAGACTGATCAGTTTTCTTTCATATATGACAGTAACAATTGTGTTTTTAATTCTTCTGCATTTAATACTGCTTTGATGAGGTGTAGAAAATAATTTTGTGTAAAATTCTTCTATTTCCAATACTCGGCTTGATCTAAAAACAAGCTTCAATTGTAGTTCACAATGAAACTGCTCCACTGAACCATAGAAAAAGATCTGGCAAAAGAAATCTTCAAATTCCCTTGAGCTATATTTGTATATTCTATCACGGTTAATTATTTCAAAAGTAAAGAAATTTTGACAAATTTCTTCTACTACACTAGTGATTTGAATCCTAACAAACTTTTTCCCTCGCTTTCTTCATTTTAATATGAGCCAACAGTGATAAATTAGATAATATTGGTCTTAAATATAATGTTGTTGTCGCTATCTTTTTCAATATTGGAATAAAAATACAACAAACGAGCACTTTCCGTGTCAACGTCTTACTAACCATTTCTCTTTCGTAAAACATAAAGTAAGGTCTATCAGACATTTCACTTTCCATAATGATCTCATTATCACCAACCATTATTGAGCATTTTTTGTCTCGAAAACGAACCATAGAGTCTATATACCATTCTAGAACTATTATATTCTATTACATGGCATCCACTAACGAAGTTGGACTTCCATCAGATCGCGTTCGAAATAAATTATCAAGCGATTTGGAAGATCTACATTGTTCAATATGTCGTAATATTTTATGGAAACCAGTCGCTTGTCAAAGATGCGAAACTCCCTATTGTTCAGCATGCATTAAAAAGTGGCTGCGTGAAGGTAGAAATCAATGTCCAGTAGGATGCCAACCATTTGCCGAAAGAACATGTCCTCCGTCTATTGTTAAACAATTATCCAGGTTACAAATTGCCTGCGTTTATGAATCAAATAACTGTCGTGAGGTTAGTTGTTCTATTTCCGAAATTATTTCGCCAATGTTTTATTTTAGATTCTTCCATGCGAAGCACTCGAAAAACATGAGACAGAATGTGGTTTTAAACCGCAAACATGTCCTGGCTGTCATTCATCATTTGCTAAAAAGAGTATCGAGAAACATAAATCTCAGTGTCCGCTGATTGAAATAACATGTGCAGATTGCAAAATTGTCTACAACCAAGGTGATGCAACTCGAAGTCATACCGATATGAAATGTCTTAAAGAACAATTTCAACAGTTTCGGCATCAAAGACAAGAAGAAAATAAACAATCAAAAGAAGAAATTAAACGTTTAAAAGAGGAAAATACACAGTTAAAAGAAGAAATTAAACACTTAAAGGAAGATGATAAACAGTTAAAAGAAGAAATTAACCACTT